TACTTGGTATGCAGTTCGGGAGTTTTGAGTATTCCCTTGGTTGCAGTTCGAGAGTTGGTGAATTCGTGGGTTTGCAGTTTGGGAGATTGGTGCTTGCAGTAACTGTCTGTACATCTGAAAAAGGGGAATATCGCCTAAACTGTTTTTAACCTCTTGTGGGCAAAACGGTCCGTTACAGAGTTTTCTCAGTGAATAGCACTGATAGACCTCTCAATGAGCTGTTTTACAGCTCACTGAATAGTCTTTGCAAGGCAGTTGCCATGGACAAGAGCCTGTCTCTTGAGCTTAGCTTGAGTGACCTAAACTGGCTGGATGAAACCCTGACTGACTGATAGCCAGGGAGGTATGAGAGGGTTTAATTATAAAAGCCTTCACCCCTTCTGTCCAACCAAATCCTGCTGCTTCTATCTCAAAACAGTGCGCACCGCCCTTATTAAATGCTATATGTGGCTAAAGTGTGGGTCCACAATGCTATCCTTTCTCACCTTGACTACTGCAATCTGCATTCAAAGTTTGCCCTCTTACAGTCTATAATGAATGCGGTGTAGAGGCTCATCTTCCTGTCCACCCGCACCTCCGATAATTCACTCCTCTGTCAGTCCTTACACTGGCTTCCCATAAGATCTAGTGCTCAATTTAAAAGTCTGCAGCTTGACTACAAATCTCTACCTAACACTGCTCCTACCTATCCTTCCTAAAACACAACTATACCCTGTCCAGGCCCCTATGCTCGGCCAAAGACCTGGGTCTATCCTCTGTATATACTAGCATCTCTGATGGCCATCTTCAAGAACGCCAACCTCCTACAGAACTTCCTTTCCTTTTCCATTAGACTCTCACCCAGTCTCCGTTCTTTCAAAAAATCGTTGAAAACTCACTTCTTTAGCAAAGCATATCAATTAAACTGTTAATAGCTTTCCCTCCCCACACCTAGGCAACCCACCTGGCTTCATCTCCTGCAACTGCATCATACAAAAAAACTAACCCTTCATTGTAAACTATTCTAGCATTCTAGCTCATTTCTATTGACATATGCACTCTTAGAAAATGGAAAAAGTTGACATACCCGTCATGCATACAGCACTTTAGAAAGCTAATGTGCTTTAGGTCTTTGGAGCAAACCATTAACAATATATTAATAAGAACATAGAGCAGGGCATGTATTAATCATGCTTGAACATTAGTTGTAATCTTCTTTATTTCATCTTAAAGGACCACTATAGGCACCCAGACCACTTCAGCTCAATGAAGTTGTCTGGGTGCCAGGTCCATCCAGGGTTAACCCTGCAGCTGTAAACATAGCAGTTTCAAAGAAACTGCTATGTTTACATTAGGGTTAATCCAGCCTCTAGTGGCTGTCTCATTGACAGGCGCTAGAGGCGTTTCCGTGCTTCTCACTGTGAAAATCACAGTGAGAAGACGCTGCCATCCATAGGAAAGCATTGAGAAATGCTTTCCTATGGACTGATTGAATATGCGCGCGGCTCTTGCCGTGCATGCGCATTCAGCGCTGATGTCGGAAGAGGGAGGAGATTTCCCCAGTGCTGAGGGAGCCCGGCGCTGGAAAAGGCACGTGTTTAACCCCTTAACCCCTCTTGAGTCCGGCGGGAGGGGGACCCTGAGGGTGGGTGGACCCAAAGACCCTATAGTGCCAGGAAAACAAGTTTGTTTTCCTGGCACTATAGTGGTCTTTTAACCCCTTAAGGACCAAACTTCTGGAATAAAAGGGAATCATGACAAGTCACACATGTCATGTGTCCTAAAGGGGTTAAACATCAAAAGCAATGAAAGCTAGCATTACTATAGTTTGTTTTCCTGGCACTATAGTGGTCTTTTAAACATCAAAAGCCATGAAAGCTAGCATTACTCTAGTGTGATAAACAGTGATTACAAACACACACAGTAGGTATCATTTGCTAAAAATAGCATGTAGAAAAAACAGGTTACCATGTATGTTACACGTGGTCTGCCAGTCTGCTGATATATTTCTACTTTGTGAATACATTTACGCACTCGTTAAATTTACAGTTTGGTATATGATGGAGTACATTAGTACAAAATGCTAAATGAAAATGATAGTAGTTACAAATGTTGTGTATTATGAAGTACACGTGAGTAAGTAATGTGCTAGGAGCTAGGAGTTTGGGTGGTGGTAGATTGGAAAGGGAGTTTAAATAGTCTGGGTATAAATTATTATTTTGGAGGAAGAATGAAGACGTTGAAAGCATTGATTTTCAGTATGAAGTTGTGAATAAAAGATTCATATGAATCTAATCTTTTTCGTAACTTGCTGGCTATTTTTTTTTGCTTAAATAATGTAGAGAGTGATTTATTAAACAAAGACAATTATGGGATATGCTATTCAAAATCTGCAACAACAAACAAACAAAAAATAACAATCTGAAAATAAAATCAGAAAAAATATAATGTTTTACTAGTCAAGATGATGTGAAATTCCTGACTTTTATAATTTCTTAAAGGAACACTATAGTCACCTAAATTACTTTAACTAAATAAAGCAGTTTTAGTGTACAGATCATTCCCCTGCAATTTCACTGCTCAATTGTCATTTAGGAGTTAAATCACTTTGTTTCTGTTTATGCAGCCCTTGCCACACCTCCCCTGGCTATGATTGACAGAGCCTTCATTAAACAAAAACTGGTTTCACTTTCAAACAGATGTAATTTACTTTAAATAATTGTATCTCAATCTCTAAATTGAACTTTATTCACATACAGAAGGCTCTTGCAGGGTCTAGCAAGCTACTAACATAGCAGGGGATAAGAAAATCTTAATTAAACAGAACTTGCAATAAAGAAATCCTAAATAGGGCTCTCTTTACAGGAAGTGTTTGTGGAAGGCTGTGCAAGTCACATGCAGGGAGGTGTGACTATCTTTCATAAACAAAGGGATTTAACTCCTAAATGGCAGAGGATTGAGCAGTGAGGCTACAGGGGCATGTCCTATACACCAAAACTGCTTCATTAAGCTTAAGTTGTTCAGGTGACTATAGTGTCCCTTTAAGTTGCATTTTTTAGAAAATATGTTAATTTCCTCACGGATATACCTGTAGAAGCGTTATCTAATTGTACGTAATCATTCAAAATTATAATGAACGAATTAAATTAAATATTATGGAAAAAATTACGTTATAGATAAGTTCTGAACTTCTCCTTTGTTCTCATTGACAATGCTGATGACACATATCATCTATTTTGTTCCTGCTAACAATGTGTAATTTCTTTGAAATAAAGAAGTATTCTTTTAGAGCTGTTTTGACAGGCTCCTCACTCGTTTATGATTTAGTCAATAATTCCTTGTAGTGTGTCATTACTGATATCAAGCAGAACACAAAGAGATGGCGCAACAAGTCTTGACCCTAGTTTTATTTTGAAATTTACATTTTTTATAAATTGATTTCTTACTCAATAACATTTCTCTAGTGTTGCTCAGTTATACATTCTTATTTGGTCTATATGCATCACCATAGTACGTGAAGACTGCAATATTTACCATTATTGAGGTCTTTCCTGTTTCCTTAATTTTCCTCTGATAACACAGTTCTGGTATGATACATTCCTGATTGAAACCTGCTCAAGAACACTTGCCAATTTACACAAGAACTGTATTAACAGAGGCCAAAAAACAGAACAGGCCTCTGTAACTCTTATATGACTAGCAACAGGGCTAGACTGCGGATACAAAGTAGCCCTGAAAAAAAATGTATGTCAGTATATATATATATATATATATATATATATATATATATATACACAGTTGCAAGAAAAAGTATGCGAACCCTTTGGAATGATATGGATTTCTGCACAAATTGGTCATAAAATGTGATCTGATCATCATCTAAGTCACAACAATAGACAATCACAGTCTGCTTAAACTAATAACACACAAAGAATGAAATGTTGCCATGTTTTTATTGAACACACCATGTAAACATTCACAGTGCAGGTGGAAAAAGTATGTGAACCCCTAGACTAATGACATCTCCAAGAGCTAATTGGAGTGAGATGTCAGCCAACTGGAGTCCAATCAATGAGATGAGATTGGAGGTGTTGGTTACAGCTGCCCTATAAAAAACACACACCAGTTCTGGGTTTGCTTTTCACAAGAAGCATTGCCTGATGTGAATGATGCCTCACACAAAAGAGCTCTCAGAAGACCTACGATTAAGAATTGTTGACTTGCATAAAGCTGGAAAGGGTTATAAAAGTATCTCCAAAAGCCTTGCTGTTCATCAGTCCACGGTAAGACAAATTGTCTATAAATGGAGAAAGTTCAGCACTGCTGCTACTCTCCCTAGGAGTGGCCGTCCTGTAAAGATGACTGCAAGAGCACAGCACAGACTGTTCAATGAGGTGAAGAAGAATCCTAGAGTGTCAGCTAAAGACTTACAAAAAGTCACTGGCAAATGCTAACATCCCTGTTAGCGAATCTACAATACTTAAAACAATAAACAAGAATGGATTTCATGGGAGGATACCACAGAGGAAGCCACTGCTGTCCAAACAAAACATTGTTGCATGTTTACAGTTTGCACAAGAGCACCTGGATGTTCCACAGCAGTACTGGCAAAATATTCTGTGGACAGATGAAACCAAAGTTGAGTTGTTTGGAAGAAACACACAACACTATGTGTGGCGAAAAAAAGGCACAGCACACCAACATCAAAACCTCATCCCAACTGTGAAGTATGGTGGTGGGGGCATCATGGTTTGGGGCTGCTTTGCTGCGTCAGGGCCTGGACAGATTGCTATCATCGAAGGAAAAATTAATTCCCAAGTTTATCAAGACATTTTGCAGGAGAACTTAAGGCCATCTGTCTACCAGCTAAAGCTTAACAGAAGATGTTTGTTGCAACAGGACAATGACCCAAAGCATAGAAGTAAATCAACAACAGAATGGCTTAAACAGAAGAAAATATGCCTTCTGAAGTGGCCCAGTCAGAGTCCTGACCTCAACCCGATTGAGATGCTGTGGCATGACCTCAAGAAAGCGATTCACACCAGACATCCCAAGAATATTGCTGAACTGAAACAGTTCTGTAAAGAGGAATGGTCAAGAATTACTCCTGACCGTTGTGCACGTCTGATCTGCAACTACAGGAAACGTTTGGTTGAAGTTATTGCTGCCAAAGGAAGTTCAACCAGTTATTAAATCCAAGGGTTCACATACTTTTTCCACCTGCACTGTGAATGTTTACATGGTGTGTTCAATAAAACCATGGCAACATTTCATTCTTTGTGTGTTGTTAGTTTAAGCAGACTGTGATTGTCCATTCTTGTGACTTAGATGATGATCAGATCACATTTTATGACCAATTTGTGCAGAAATCCATATCATTCCAAAGGGTTCACATACTTTTTCTTGCAACTGTATATACACACACACACACACACACACACATATACACGCGTGCGTATATATAGTATTTGTTATCTTTTTATTGTCCTGATGAATGGCCCTATAGTGTTGTGTTTTTTGTTTTTTTTAATTGGACGACCCAGAGTGCTGGTATGGATTGAAATGTGTTTGTGTATATGTATATATATTTAATACAATGCTAAACAAAAATACAGACCTCAACTGGTTCTACTCTACTGGTTCTGACTTGAATTTAATAAAGGCACAAATAGTGGTTCTTGAACACAGTAACCAACCTCATGCTGAAGAGTTGCATTAACAACGAAACAGCTGTCCATGAGTGGTTCACTGGTTTTGCATCTTTTCCTAAATTGTGTTCCAAGCAGTTGTATACTGCAAACACAAATTAAAAGGAATCCATGTTTAAAATGGAATGAGGCAAAAACGTGATTCTTTGTTAAACTAATTTGCATATGCCCACCCAGAATCCTTTGTGGTTGCAACATCACTGCAGATTTGGGATTTCTGTGGGGAAAGCAAGTCTTATGGCTTGACTGGTGTGCAGATTTTTGTTTAACATTGTATTAACTATCCACAGACTTCAGCTGGAAGGGGTTTTCAATCACACTTTTTCCCCACCATAACCTAATTGGATGTTGCTATATATATATATATATATATATATTATTGGTATGTTCCTTTTTCTAATTCAAAATATTGGGTCGTTCAGGGTAAAAAGTTTAATTATACAGTAAGCATACTCACATGCAGACACAGACAATCTCACAGACTCATTGATACAGTTCATTGATACACATGCTCACTACAGACAAGCTCACTGACACACACATGCTCACTCTAGACAAACTCACTGACACACATATGCTCACTACATACACGTTTACTGACACACACATGCTCCCTCCAGACAAGCTCACTGACACACACACACACCTCTTCCTTCCAGGTCAGCAGCGTGTGTGGGGGTGGAGCTTGATCATGAAAGGCGGGACTTGACTCCAGGAGGTGGGGTTTGAGTCCAGGAGGCGGAGAATAGAGGCACCAATTGCTGAAGATTCAGGAGGGAGACTCAGAACTCCCTCCGGCCACCTGGCAGCCTAAATGGGCCGCACCAGCACCTCCTTCCAGCCCCAGCCCCTCCCTCCCTTCTTTCCTTTGGACTAACACAGGGTGTTACAGTCCAAGGGAAAATAATTTAAATTACACATCAGGGCTTCATGCCAGTCCCAGGTGTTGCAGACCACCAAGAAATTCCCAGATATCCCGGTGGGACAGTCCGTCCCTGACTAGCAATTGAATTTCAGGTGCTTCTTCCAACCTGGGCTTTATTGCAGATGCAAATGACATCTATAACTCTCAAAAAAAGAGGAGTCTTCAATACAGACCTCAACTGGTTCTACTCTACTGGTTCTGACTTGAATTTAATAAAGGCACAAATAGTGGTTCTTGAACACAAATCATACACCATAGAAAGTGCTAAATGGCTGACTCGTCACTTGGTTTAGTAACCTGAGTTAACCTGACAGATAGGAAGACGAACTTGCGTCTGTTTTCTTAGGTCCCAGCTGCTTCAAACTGCAGATATTTAGATGTTCACTATATGAACATACCAGGATCTAATGCATAAGATAACAGAATACACAGACAAGCCATACATGTCAAGGTCATGCTTGGTCAATAACCACTGTTCAAATGTTTTTTTAAGGGATTTGACCACCACTCCTTTACATTTTGTATGCGATTAATACAATGCAGAACACATTTCTGAATGTGGAAAGTGTCTGGCAACCGGCAGCAGTGCAATCGAGGACACTGGTGCTATATATATATATATATATATACGTCCATATATGTTGCAGTAGTGCAGTAGCGTATGTACTTATATCCTATTTCTAGGTTACATTGTTTCACTGTATAAATATAGAGATTCTGCGTGTTTGAATGATGGGGCTTCCTTATTTGTATCTCCTTAAGCCAGCTGTGTCAGATTTTTAAAAAAAATATGTATTCCTATATTTGCTGTTTATCTATTTTTCTGCACACTTGTTTGGGGGAGGGGTTTCTTTTCGATTTACTTTCACCAGATAATATTCACATGTATGTTACGTCTATTGTGTCCTTTGCTCCTTATTTGATTTAGTTATGTGCAGATGTTTCTTTTTTATTACTTATGTAACATTCTTTTTGCGTTCAAAACATCATCATATATACATTTTGGGGTCAGTTTATTTGACATTTATTCTTTTTCTGGGAGGTGACCTTTATAGCTCTAAATAGATATTTTCACTTCCGATAACATTCAATACATTGACAAAAGTAAGTATATTACGTTTTTAAAATAGATATTTTTTCATTTTTAATGTTTTCTTGTCAGGTTTGTGTTGTGTTGTGTGAGAGACAGAATCCTCTGATGCTTTGCAATCCCATCTGTTTTGGCACTAGTACAGTGTATAAATGATCCTGTTATAGCTCCCATAGTGTTATGCACACAGATGATAATGTTGGCTCCAGTGCATATTCCCATGTGTAGCGACATACATTGCCCTGCTTCCGAAAAGGATTTTAACATTTTAAAATTAATAAAACAATGTTTCTGATTTATAACATGCCTGCGTTATCCCATTCAAGGATTTCACAATGTATCAATTTCATAATTATTATCATTATATAAATATATTTTTCCCACTTGAACATGGAAGACAGTTTATTTTGAATTAATGGCAATGACAAAGGCAAATAAACAGGATATAGGTTATTGAGTATCCAGGTTGTTGTTTAACATGGAACTAATATCTTGCGATGCTTCATTTAAATCAATATTTGTGGAAATGTCCTATCAGTAAATATATAAATGCAGTCATTATACCAGTGTTTGGTTGGTTTAGATGCGCATGCAGCTAAAGAGATCTTTTTTTGAATATATTATATATTTATATGATTTTAAAACAAGGACATGTATTTCACTTGTGCAATGTTTCATAGATCTAATATATAATACTGTACATTATAAAACTCATTATATCGCCATTTCCTCAAAAATTAGGTCAAATATATCTAAGTCCCTAAACAGAAATCCTGTCCCTAAACGGAGATATGTATAATACATGCCTCGCACCGAAACTACAAGGACTACATAAATAACAATTACATAGACTACATTAACAAACATAAACATGTGAGCGCAACGTGATGAGCGGGCCAGTTTCAAATTCCTTTTGTACAATTTAAGATGAAGTAAGACTGTTAGGGCAGTTGTCAATTGGATATTTTAAAAGCCACTTATTCCATACTTGATAATATTTTTCATAATTAAGTTGGGCAACAAAGTATCCCCTTTCCATTTGGGCTTGATGTTTCATCTGGCTCATTATATTCTTTGTCTTTATTGTATCATTTTGATACTATTTTCTAGCTATGACAATCTTTACTGCTAGTAGACCCCGTGTAAATAGAGCTTCATCATTTCTAATTCGATATGGAAAAAGGCTCTTTGGAGTGAGAGCAGAAATATGGTATTAGTTATACTGGAGAGAACAGCAAAATGTCAATCCATACTTGTTTAATTTTATTGCAACTCCACCATATATGTTGGTAAGTTCCTACTGCTTCATGACATTTCCAACATATTGGATTCATCCCCATATTAAACTTTGCCAATCTTACTGGGACTAAATACCAGCACATCATGATCTTATAATGTAATTCAACCATATTTAAGCAATGAGTGATCTTATTGACCCCGACCAGACTAGATGACCATTCTTCTAGATTTAAATGGTCTTCCATTTCCCTTTGCCAACTCTCTTAAGATTTTAGGCTATATGTTTTATCCAGATCTTCTAAAAAATCTATACCATCAAGCCATTTCTTTTTTCACAACAGCGTTATTCAAAATATTTAGAATACTATGACCCAGTTTATTTCTTTTATAATTGTAAATATGCATTTTTAAATAATGCCACATTCTGAGTGAATTAAAATATTCCGACTCTTTAAATGCATATTTGTTAAGGATCTGTATCGGGGTTTTAATACTCTGTAAAAAAATGTAGATGAATGGATGTTAATGTAGACTCTTTCTTAATTTCTTCTTGTCTTCAGTTGATTGATATATATACGTCTTTTGTATATATATATTCTTGGGCCAAATGCTCGCCACAATAATATATGTCTATATTATTGAAAAGTAGTAATACGCAATCTGACTTACGGTTTCTTCAGGTTTATTCTTAGTTACGGATACATAAAACATAATATAGGATGTTACAGGATAATGGACATTCAACAGCAGATGGTAATTGCTGGACTTCTGATGGGAGAGTTACATCGTTGTACAGAGCCAAGCCAAGAGTGAGACCGACCTCGTGTCCCTCTGTTACTATATAGATGTGCTAATACTAACGTCAGCATATAACTCTAGCCATATAAGGACAAGACCCCCGAATCCACATTCCAGAGCTCTCGGACAAAGAAAGCCTTGTGACTTATTGATACCATCTGTTACTTATGTCAATCCACACATCCATATATATAATCAATAGAAACATAGAATATGCAATATTCTACATACTCTCAGTCATAAAATTGCTTATTTTATAAGATGTAAAATGCTCCCAATTATTGAGCTTCAAGTGAGGAATATTATTCTTAAGAACGTCCAGAGGAGCAGAGGGCAATAGTTTATGTTTCATACCTATGCGTTTTTTTTATTTCATCCAAAATTCAATACAATTCTAGCCACCATTGACCATTGTTTTTTTATGTAAGGCATTATATTTTTCAAGCTGAATCCATATAACATACTCCAAGTTAGTCATCCCTGCAAGTTCTTGTTCTATATAAAACCAATTTGTGTCTTTGCTTATTTT